TGCATATTTACATTTCTTTTTCTATGCTCTGAATATTAAATACATTGTTCTTTTCATTGAGTTTTCATTTTTTTAATTTTTTTCCAGAAACCTTTTACCAATTTTTTAGCTTCTTTGTATAAAAGTTAAGTTTTAATGGTGACTTAGTAAAACTGGGAGTTAGAGAGGTGGTCTTCCATTGGGAAGAGCATACCAATTGGTTTTTCAGTGCCAAGCCATCAGACCTGAAGACATACATACAAGTGGCATTATAAAGACTCAACAAGTTATATTTAGGAAGATATATAAATGTGTGTGTGTGTGTGTGTGTGTGTGTGTGTGTGTGTGTGTGTGTGTACTAACAATGAAAAGAGAGTCTGTGATTTGAAAATATGCAGGGTGGTAATATGAGGTATGCATGTATAGGGTGCCTGAGGGGGGAAAGTGAAGGAAGAAATGTAATTAAATTACAATCTCATTTTTTAAGGTACTTAGAAAAAAGTGAAGTTTTGTATTCAAATTTTTAGTTATTATTTTTTTTAATCCCTTAATATATTTGTGTACCTGTACTCACCAGTCTTTTACTATATATTAGAAAATCTTGTATGTGGATAAATTACTCATATTTTCTTTAGCACATTTGTGGTTTAGTCTTTTTTAATATTTATATCTTTGATTTAACTAAAATTTTCAATATATATGCTTTCACAAATGCATTTACCCTTATTTTTGAGTGGAAATAGCAGTTTTATTTTTCACTTGAAATGAAAGAAGCACTTTTTGTCCCTTAGACTTCTTAGGATGGCAGAGATTAGCACAGAGACAAAAGAACAGAAAAACGGAAATGTCAGAAGTGACATACAGTTTTTTAATCCATCACTGATGTCTACTGTTTGTGACATAGGAAGTCCCAAGAAATTCTTTCATTTATAAGAATAAATTATTATATTTTGATTGTCTAAGCAATGATTAAATCAGCAAAAGCATCATAGAGTAAATCAAACCCCTAGTGAGATACTTTCAACAGCAAATACAGTTCATATGGTAATGTTAATTTTACTTACTTAAGAAAAGCACTTATCAGTAAGACCCTGTAACTGAACAAGTGAATAAAAACGTGAATGTTGTAATTTGAGCAAGAGGCAATAACCACGTGATAACCTTATTTGTGTCTTGAAAAGTTGGCTCCATATAGTCTTCATTATTAAAAGGCAATTTTTTCATGTAATTTTATTTAGTTTACAAAAGAGCTTAGGCTAAGGATTCTGATAGCTTGCATCTTTATAATGTTTTATTTTAAAAAAGCAGTTAAAGATGTTAAATATTTCGCAACCAAAGAACCTTATTGTGTTAAACATGTATTTGATGTTAGAGAAGGGAAATATGACTGGGGCAGTCAAGAATGTCACTAACTTTTCTTCTACTTTCAACTTAAAATTTTTCATTATTATTTTTGTGCATATGAGTATTTTGCCTGCATGTATATTTGTGTGCCACACACATCCCCATTGCCTTCAAAGACCAGAAGAGGATATTGGATTCCCCAAGACTTGGACAGTTAGAATTATAGACAGCTGTGAGCTGCTATGTGGTACTGGGAATCAATCCTGGGGTTTCTAGGAGAAGCAGGTACTCTTAACTGCTGAGCCACCTGTCCAGCTCTCTTTTGTAATATCTTTAAATCATATATAATCATATAGACTTTTTCTCTTCTAAAAACACACCTAAATATAAAACTGTTTGAGAAATTAAAAATGTAATAATAAAGATAATAAAGTCATGTTTGATATATTTACAATCAAAAGAAAGTTATTAATATATTGATGTTTATTTTTAAAACCATGGGCTATGCTCACAATGTATAGTTATAGTTTGAAATTTTTGTTAGCTAGCCATGTGATATGAAAATATCTTTTTGTTAATAAATAAATTTCCTTGAAATATTTGTGCAGTCCATAAATGTATGCTATGCCATCTCAGTAGTCTCTTACTTGTGCACGTGCAAGTTGCTTCTAGTTTTTCTATATTGAAAGTAGAGGAATATCTTTGTGAAGATACTTTAATGGACATGCCTGATAAATTAATAGAAGGCTGTGATCTTTTTTTTTTTTTTTTGTCTTTTGATGTGTTTAGCAAGGCCATTTGTGTGCATGCACACATCTATGGCTGATTTGTACCAGCATTCTGTAAAGGAGCTGTCTGCTCATATCACTGTCGATTGGGAGCAGAAAACTCTGTGACCCAAAGAAAGCTCTCAGCGGTTTAAGAAAGGAGAGAAGAGAGTGACAGGAAGAGGTCAAGCAAAGTGGACATTTTTGGTTCAAAACTTGATACATGCTGGTAAAGGCCATAAAGTACAGCTTTCCTCAAAGTTAGCTTGTATTTTACAGGCAGTCAGTCCTGACTGAGTGCTAACTTGGCATGATTGAATGTCCCTTTTTGCTTGGAGTCAGTAACCTGACCCTTCAAGCGTATCCACACATTCAGTGATTGAGACCACTTACTCGTACTAATCATTGCATGCAGAAAATACATAAAAGATTTGTATTCATCACTCAGTATGTTTTGCTGCTCAAGTGTCATGAAACATTCAGGGTATATTAACTGGCAAATGCACACCTGGAGTATGTTCTTAGCTTTAGAAACTGCTAATTTAAAAAAATCAAATATTTAATTTTGAGGGAAAAATCAGTTTTGGATTTTGAGCATATATATCATCTTTCATTTTGGCCCAATTAACCCAGCAGGTGTGTGTAAATTAGGTCACTACTTTGTCACCGTGGTAACACGCATTGGGAAGGTGGATCTTAACCATCTCTATAGCACAGGTGATGTTGGCTGAGTTAGTAATAAGAGGTGCTTTTAAAACAAACACGGTGAATTTAATATGTTACAGTGTAAAAAAAAAAAACAGTCTGACGCTGGGTATCGGCAGATAGTTCTCTATGACACAAAGCAAGTACTGCCTGAAATCTCCATTAACGAGAAGGTTTAATGAGCCCGAGAATCAGAAATGTCATGTAAAACGTACTGAAAGTGTCTGAAAGGACAGATGCTGCAGCATCATGAAGTGATGGGCTCATTTCTCATGGAACAAGGGATTTGGGGGTTGGAGATCAGTTCTCTAGAACTTAAAATTGTTTTTAGAAATAAGTCGTGATTTTCAGAAGGCCTTTGACATTCTGATTATTTACTAGAGTGTCTGGAATCTAGTCAATGCTTAGAGGTGTTATTTTGGTTTTCATTTGTAAGGACTGTGCCTAATACTTTCTTTTGTGTGCTCTATTTTAATCAATATTCATAGTTGCTCATGGGGTAAAGCGTTGGCAGAGTTGGTTTCTGCCAGCACTCCAGCACTGATACTGTCTCTAACTCAGGCTTCCCACCAGGTGGAAAATCAGACATGCCTCAAGATCGCGTGTAGCGCCTGTGCAATCTGTTTGGCTGTCGAAGGCTCCAAATCATGTGGGCATTCTGCAGCCCTACAGAGTGGTAGAATTTCCTCACTTATCACTGACAAGTTCACACCTCTTTTGGTCATTAAAATTGTAAATGTGCATTATCAGATGCAAAAACATAGGCCAATGATCTTAAATCTACTTCTAAGGAAATAAGTCTCAGGCTGTTTCAGCCCTCAGTCATCGGTGCTGTTGTTTCCATTGTTCCTATGTTGTGGGTTCATGTGTAGTTTTATAGCTTTCAGTTGTCCGCATGTCCTCCCTAACATTTATATTACTTATTGTAATTTTGAAGCAGTTTTATTACTTATTTTTCAATGGCATTTAAGAAACTTGAATTCCCCTCATGTTTATTTTCACTTGGTTGTGACCTTAGCTATATTACTTATTTTGTGTGTTTTCAGTAGTTAATATTTACAAAAACACTGAACAAACTCTCTGAGATTGCTTTCTGTAATCTCTCTCTCTGTGCATCAAGGATGAGAGTTACTAAGGGAAGAGGCACATTGAGTCACCATGTCACAGTGTGTGTGTGTGGGGGGGTTTACTTCCTACGACAGTCAAGGATCCTGGTTTTCAGATTTATTTCTCTTTTTCATTATCCAAGAGCCCTGCAGGCTTGGAGACTCACAAAGGGACACCTGAGCTGAGTGGGGAACAGTTGGCTCAAGTGCTCTTTACTTGTAACTTGTCTTGCGTGTCCGTCCTCTTTATGTTCAAGTCTTCATCCCATCAACTCCCAGTGGACCTGGAAAAGCTTTTATTTTGAAGAGTGGATTATTACAAAAAGTCCTGAAGTCTCAAGGAAAATCTATGAACCTAGTGCAGGTGAGAGTATGCTTTATTCACTAAAGAACAGCAGCCAGCATTTGAAGACCCGGTCTGTTCAGCAGTGAGGAGAATGGCAGCCCAGATTAGTATTGGAATGAAAAATTTATCAAAGGATCCAAGGTTTTTTTAGAGATGGGACACCAAGCAAAATAAAGGGGTTGAGTTGTCAAATGTAGTAAAGTAAGTTATGGGAGAATCAGTGAATTTGGGCCTGAATTGTGGTAACCATGCTGTGGGTGGGAGCAGACACTTAAACAGAGTAGTTTCTTTCATTGTTTGATGAAATAATTTTTACCCCTTTTAAGTAGCATGTTAAAAGAGAAAGAGAGGTTGGTGTGACTGAGACAAAGAGCTTACACAGTTATAGAACTGGTTGGGTTTTATACCTTCCTTTACTGAGTATTGTCCTTCAGTACAATACAGAGCCATTTCTTTGTTCTCACAAGCTAGCAGTTAAATTGTATGTAAATGTATGCAAATTAGATGCTGTCTAATAAAGAGAGTCATTAGATGGAAGAAATATTTAGTTTAGGGAAAAAAAGCAGGTGTATTGTGTAAAAGAAAATGTAACACTACAAAAAAGCCCAAACTTCTGTGGACAGTTATAGAAAAAAATTATTAAAATAGATTTTTAAAGACTTACGTCTTCTTGACCTTTCCTTTGTGCTTATATATATGTGCTTGTTTTTAAAATATTTACATATAAAACTAGAGGATTGGCTTCTTTCCCAGAATTACTGGAAGCACCTTCACCAGGAACATTTGGACTTGAATAATCTCCACAGCAGCATTTTTTGAATTAAATGAAATGTAAAATGAATGATTATCCCAAGAAGAAGCTGTTCTTTAGGTTGGTAAATACCCATGGTCTCTTGACAGATTCCTTGCACCGGGTCATTCTGGTTACTTTTAGTTTACCTTTAAAGGAGGAAGAGTTCTGACTCCATTCCAGACTCTTAAAAAAAATCTTTAAAAGATATATAAACTGTAAGTTTCTTGAGAGAACCTTGCAGTTTTTCATGGTCAGTGCCTTGTTCAGTTTGTAATGTAATCCCTAGCTTCTTCTAGACACTTTCATCTTGCTTTGAGTGACTACATGTGACTAATTCCTTTATTGATCACATATATGATTATGGGTATGTCAAATACCTTTGTAATCCCTGGGATTAAGGTAGTGAACCAGTTCCCATGTTTGTTTGTAGCACTTATGTAGTAAAAGCTTATTAAAAACACTGTAATGCTATTCAGCTTCCTCAAGTCAGCCATGACAAAAATGTGGAGTGCCCATCACATGTGTCTCTCATGTGATATATGTGGGACAAGAACAGGTTTACCAGCGGCTCTGGGAGTTCAGAGTCCACAAAAGGAGCTGTATATACAACCATTTAGTACACAGAGGTTTGAAAAGTTACAAACACAATATGGGAAAATGAGGCAGAAATTCTGACCGCCTATGGGGGTATCAGAGATGATTCCTTAGAGGGAGGGGAAGTTGAAGTAAGAGCTGGCAAGGAACAGATGGTTGGCTATGATGGGGTATAGAAAAACAGGCTCTCAAAGTTCTCCACCTCAAATTCCCAAATTAGTAGAAAAATACTAGATTTTCTTTTATTCTCTTGTGAATTTCTAGGAACAGCTTGACTTTAACCTCTGTGGAAACACAAATGAGAACTGTGATGGATACAATAATTACTGAAGTAAGTCATATTTATAATCATATTCAGTCATTGACTGAGAAATAAAAAAAATTAAGCAAAAAGACTTTATAACTTTTTGGTTTGAAGACATTATAAGTATAAAATTTTATTATTACTCAATCTGTGATTCTGTCTGTGTTGTGAAGTCATGTTTGGGGGTGAGAGGCTTAGGGACCTCCAATAGGATGCTTCATTTATGTCTGCTAGTATACAGACATATTTTACAACATTTTTGTTAAACTCTTACTTTGATTTTATGGCAACCCTTGAGATATCATAACTAGTGTTACCATTTCCATTATCAGTAGGAAGGGTGTGAGGCCATAAACATTGAGTCACTTTGCTGGAATCACACAAAGTAAATGGCCATACCGTGCTTCCCTGAGAATCTGTCTAGTTTCTTTTCATTGGAACAGAAGCAACATACATCTTGGTTTCTAATTTTATTTTAAGTGTTTTCCATTGATTTGGTGATATATTCTCATTTTTCCACTATAGTGTGCATGACATATCAAAGATTGAATAGAGGGAGACATATATATATATATACATATATATATATATATATGAAAAAACCTGAACATTTTGGTATCTGAGAGTGTATATAAAAACCGTAATGGGCCTGTGGACTGAAAGAATTTGAATTTGCTTTCTTGACTTTTGAGTTACAGAGAAGATTTCAATGTGGGTGCAAGATGTGCTGCACTGAACTCATCTTGGAGTTAACCAAAGGGATGAGGGACTAACAGCTTTTGATATTACTTAGTGCTTATTATTGTTATTATTATTATTTCTTTTTAATTATGCAAAGTGCTAATCAGTTTGATTATGCACAGTGCTAATCAGGTTAATTATGCAAAGTGCTAATCAGTTCTTCTTGAAGCACACGAGGAGAGCAGAGGTGCTGGCGGTGAATGGCGTAGCTGGATGGGGGTGGTCACGGCAGTCATTCTGTATTAAGATAGGAAAAGACAAGATAGCAAATGGGATTTATCTATGAAGGTAAAGAGGAAAAGAGAGAACTGTGGGCACATGCAAGATTATAGTTTGCGCAGACAGTGTTTAGAATGCTTTTCTCCCTGTTGTAGAGTGTGATTGGATAGTCTGATATATCTGAAGGTCCTCATTTGAAGCCAGAAAGGCTACAGAGGGAAAGAAACAGAGTATTGTATAGCTAGACAAGTTGTCAAAACCACTTACTGTAGTTGGCAAGCACCAAGTCCTGAGAGGACAGTAGAGGAAGTAGAATCTAATAGACCTACACATGAAAGAGGGCATCAATAAGGAGAATTGAAAAATTAGCAGAGTGTCATTCTAATAAGATAAATAGGGCCACCTCACTACTGTATTGTAATTGGGCTGGCCATCTGTGCAGCATATTTCCTGAGGTGAAGTGAGGGCTGGCTTCTTAGTGCTGGCAGTAGTCTCTGTTGAGAGTGCTGATGACGAATATGACAATAAGGGTTTTATGGAATAGCTCCTAGTTGGATCAGCTTGGTTGCCACTGGAATCAAAGTGAATTTTAATATTAACTTGCTGGTCTGTGCTTATTAAGCCGGGTAACTTCCTGTGAAGATGAGCATATAGCAATATACTCCCGTGTTTTTATAGAACAATGACCAGAGAGTTCCCCTAGGAAAACCTTTTTATTCAGTCTTGTTCTGTTTGATAAGCTATCGATGAAATGTTGCAATACCTGCTTGTTTGAATGAATTCACAGAACAGAAACCATTTCAGGTTGCTAAGTGAATATTCACATCTTATAGAACTGTTTTCAGTCTGCTTGACTTCCTTAACTCTAGATTTGAGCTGGAGATTTATAAATTATTTGGAAAGAGGAGGGTCTGATTTTCTCAATTACTATAGGACAGTATTTTCTTTTTTAAGCGCATGTCCAAGCACAACTCCTCTTCACAAATACCTTATGTGAACTGGATTTCTGTCTGTCCGAACAGTGACAGCAGTCCCACAGAGACAGAGTCACTGGTGGCGCCTCCAGCCCAGGGCATATTAATGACTTATTTGTCCAGACAGCATGGATTCCTTGATAAAAATAAGCTTCGATTTTTATTTTTTCTTTAACCACTACCAATTTCCTTTTCAAATATGAAGAGAATGACATAAATCTTTGGTTTCCAAGGAGAGTCTGGAAAGAAATAGATTGTTAGAAGACAGTGCCCACAAATTGAGAAAGCCTGTTGGGGGCCCTTTGGGAATTTGGCTGGGAAATTCTGTAATAAGTAGTCCTTCTGCTCTGCTTCATAGGAACTTGGTTTTAGAAATGAAACATTGCTTGTGTTTTCCGCACTCCTAAAAACAAAGATAAAGATGAAGTATTCATATTAACACTTTAATAACGTATTTTGAATCACTTCTTAATAAACCTGAAAACTTTTCATAGTGATTCTAACTAAAGGGTACCTTATAAATAGACTTGCGTGGTATATACTAAACCCTTGATTTTTTTCTGAAGACCTTTGAAACCAACAGCATTGTGACATAGACATTTATAATGCCACTTGAAAGTTTCAAGGAGAAAATTACGTGATTCAAATAGCAAATGAAAATGAATTAAGTAAGACAGCAAATATGGCCTATGCACTTTTTATGTATTTATACTCATATCACAGACATGCTTGTACATATAGACCTACCTTCATTAAAACCAATGTTCCTTGAGTAAACAATTTGCAGAAAATATATGCACTGTGCTAGTTACAACACCCAGAATTCTCCTTGGTACTGGATTCCCTGTTAGCCCAAAACAACAAAAGTCCTTATCAGGAGGGTGCTTAGTGATAGGATTAAATGGTATTTACCTCATGATTTTCAACTCTAAGAAATTGATTGTCAGAGGCCAGTACTCACAGATTTAGAAAGTCTTTTGGGGACAAAACTTTTATGTTTTACTTGTTGTCAAATTTTCTCCTCACAGACAGCATATAAATCAGGTACTTGGCTTCAATATTCAGTTATGTAAAAATTAAGATGTTCTACTAAAGTGTTTCTAAGGTTAACTCATCTTATATACCACGTATATATAGCTGTCCATGAAATTAATTTGTATGTTACCATGAGAAAAACCTTAGAATTATATGAATTTCTTTCAGACTTTTATCTTTTTGCAAATAAGTAATTGTTGTTGCTCTTGTTGTTGTTGTTAATCCCAGGCATACTCCCAGTGTTTGGGTTTCTTTGCTGTGACAAAACAACATGACCAAATAACAAGTTGGGGATGACAGGGTCTATTTGGTTTACAGTCCATATCAAAGAAAGTCAGGATAGGACCTCAAACAGGCCAGGAAGCCAGAGGCAGTAGCTGATGCAGAGGCCACGAAGGGGTACTGCTTACTGATTTGCTCCCCATGTATTGCTCAGATTACTTTCTTATTGAACCTAGGACTCCTAGCCCAAGAATGACCCCAGCCATAGTAAGCTGGGCTCTCTCATATCAATCACTAATTAAGAAAATGCCCTACATCTGAATCTTATGGAAGCATTTTCTCAAGTGATATTCCTCCTTCTAAATACCTCTGATTTGTTGAAATAAATTGTTCTAAGCATGCAAGTATCCAGCACATCTAGCTTGGATTTCATGTTAAATTGAATATAGATATGATGCATTTTGGAAAATTCTTGGGTTTCAAACTTAGATTTCCCAGTTACTGCTGAGAAGGTCATAATATATTTGATCTCCCTCACAGTTTGGTTCTCTGTATTAGTTGAACTAAATCATGTAAACCATGTCATTGAGTGCCCAGTGGCTCACAGGAAGCTGTGACTCCTATCTCAGTTCTTTTTTTTTTGACAAGAGTAGCCTCCCTAACTCTGCTACCCAAATACCATGAACCAATGCGGTTCCTTTTGTCTGGTCTGCTTTTTTATTTTTCATTAAGCTTGTTTTTAAATTTTCTACTTTCTCTTCCCTTATAACTTTCTTGTTCTTCTTATGTAATTTGACCACTCCTCAACTTAATCAGTTTTTGGTAACTTGTATTTATTGTATGTGACATAGTCTTGATATTAGCAGTAAGAATGTGTATACCTGTAATTGAAGCCAATTAAATAGAAATGTATTGTCTTCATCTGGACTGTAACTTAATTGTTTGTTGTTTTATCTTAACTATACTGGAAAATTCTTGAATGTGAAAGTAACAATTTACATTCTTGTTTATCGGGTATCTACGTGGACTCTACCAAAAGGCATCACGCAGTCTACAGGGGATGAGGAATTTTAAGGCAGAAAAATGCATGATCTGTTGATGAATAAATTATTGAGGAGGTGAAGATGTTGAGAAAGCTTCTTGGGAGAAATATTAGGAAGGCATGTTAAAGGAAATAGTGCTTGGACAAATCCAAGCACTTTTGGAAATTACCTTAATTTTTTTGTTGGGAAACATGAGAAAAGATGAATTCTAAACAGTGAGGAGAACATAAAAAGATTAATGCAGAGAAGTTGACTGGCAACAGGATGATAAGAGAATCAGGGATAGAATGAGGAGAATAGATTGCTTGCTTGTGATGAAGGACCTATAAGTGCTTTATAATCTTGTGGTCTTATAGTCCTATCCTTTCAAAATATGTAAATATTTGTGATAGAGAAAACATTGTGAGATTAGTTAGAGCATAAAGGCACTTGCCATCAAGTCTGATAACCTGGGTATGATTCCCAGGATCCACAAGGTAGAAGGAGTGGACCAACTCCTAAAAGTTGTCATCTGACCTCCATATATATGCATAGCATGCAGACAGCAGATAAACAAGACAGTCACAGAAATACATAGAAGCATATAATATTGCAAGAATATAGACATTAGCTTTTTGTGAAGAAAGAAACTAGTGAACAACAGAACAAAAAAAAAAAAAAGGAAAATGGAACACCATGTGAAAAAGGTCAAGTTTATTTTAAAACATGGGTTTCAGTCACCCTTTTTGATTACAGTTAAAATGGGGCTCTTTGTATGACTTAGACCCTAGAAGGTGAGGATGTTAAAGAATAC